CTCGAAAGTATCTAAATAATGACATACTTTAAACTTAATGATCAATAATAAGCAAAGTACTGAAGTTTAAAGGCTAATATGATTTTGCTAAAAGTTTAGTAACAAACAGTATAATTAATTGCCTGAAAAATGGTTCTTATCTCCTAAATCAGCACTATTAGTATTTATTTCATTATTCTAAAAAATTTAGTATGATTAAGGATTTTATTAATGGAAAAAATTTATAGTATGATTGCAATAAGGATATATATTTTTCATTAATAATGATTATGATATTGACTTTCAGTACAATTTTGAAAAAAAAAAAAAAAAGAACTAGACCAGGGGGCGGACCTAGGGGGTGGCCTGGGGGTCACATGACCTCCCAAATATGCTCATTTTTTTCACCATTAAATTTTCTATAAGTCATTATAGGATGTGAAAAGAAATCGAAATATTGCATTTTTAATACAATTTGAAGTCATTACGTGAAACGATATAGATGGTTTTTACAAGAAGGAAAAACAAATTACTTTTTGACTTTGAGTTCTACTTGAGTTGAACTTTCGACTATCGAGTCTTTATCGTTGCATGATCAATTTGCAAATTAAATTTAATACATTGCTTTTATTGAACGTCTTCCATATCCTACACATCAAAGATGCAATCCTCCCTGAGAATCTATGGAGAAGCAAAGTTTTCATCAGTCGATAGGGGGACCAATACAACCTTCAAATTCAAATTAACATGGAATTATAAATGTCTGAACATGGTTTTGAAAACGTGCGACTAGCTTTAATCATTAAACATCATTAAGGTTTCAATTGTCATTGCCTTCGATGTCGATCCATTTTATACCATACAATTAAATAAAGCTAGGCTTATCCAAAGTTGAATGCCGTCATTATCTATACATCTAAACTTGTTACTGAAGGATTCTAACGTCATTCTTCAGTAATAAATGATTAGTGATCCATTAGTACGACAACATACGCATAAGGCTCAAGCTCATTACCAAAGATTATTCTTCAAACGATATGAATTAATGCCAACTTAAGTTTATGTAAGATACACAATTATGTATTTTATTTGCAGTATCTTACTTAAGCTGTGCCAAAAAGGGATAAAAAAGTTACATATATGTTTGGAGAGGAGAGAAATTTTTTTTGACTGGGCTCCCGTTTGGTCTCTCATTATTCCACATTATACTGAGAGTAATGATAGTTTTTTGGAGAATGTATAGTTAAAAAAGAAGGAAATTTTTTTAATTTACGTGTAATATTATTTTATTGTAAAATGTATAGTTAATAAGAATAGAGAGAAAAATGAATTATAATTTGAGCAATGCTTCAAATACCGGTGGAATTTTCACAGGCAACTTACAGGCCACACACATAGGTGGGCCCCGCACAATTTTTTTTTAAAATTACATGTGGGGTCCGCATCTTGTGAGGGGCCTGTAAGGCCCCTGGCAATAATTCCCCTATACTTGGGTCATTATGCTTATAATTTATGGGGCCAAACGAGCGCTTAATTTTTATTTAAAAATAATATCTTAAATCAATCAAATATTAGTGCGAACTAAGCCTTGTTTGATAGGGTTTATTTTCCATGAAAGTTGGAAATTATTTTTCATTTTTCAAGTTATTGCATGTTTAATTGGCCAAAAATTCTATGGAATTGGTTTTCTGCTTAAGCCCCACGTGACCCCCGTTTTGCTTTTCTTTGAATTGGTTTTCCCACCACTTTGGTGGGAAAATTGTTTTCTAGTCTAAACTTGTTACTGAAGGATTCTAGCTTCATTCATTAGTAATGAATGATTAGTGATCCATTCATACACATAAGGCACAAGCTAATTACCAAAGATTTTTCTTCAAACGATATGAATTAATGCCAACTTAAGTTTATGTAAGATACACAATTATGTATTTTATTTGCAGTATCTTACTTAAGCTGTGCCAAAAAGGGATAAGAAAGTTACATATATGTTTGGAGAAGAGAGAAAAAATTTCGACTGAGCTCCCGTTTGGTCTCTCATTATTCCACATTATAATGAGAGGAATGATAGTTTTTTTTGGAGAATATATAGTTGAAAAAGAAGGAATTTTTTTTAAAATTTACGTGTAATATTATTTTATTGTAATGCTTGAAGAGAGAGAAAGATGAATTATAATTTGAGCAATGCTTGAAGTACAGGTGGAATTTTCACAGGCAATTAACACGCCACACACAAGTGGGCCCCACACAATTTTTTTTAAAAATTACATGTGCGGTCCGCATCTTGTGAGGGGCCTGTAAGGCCCCTGGCAATAATTCCCCTGTAGTTGGGGGGTTATGCTTATAATTTTATGGAGCCAAACGAGAGCTTAATTTCTATTTAAAAATAAAATCTTAAATCAATCAAATATTAGCGCGAACTAAGCCTTGTTTGATAGGGTTTATTTTCCATGAAAGTTAGAAATTATTTTTCATTTTTCAAGTTGTTGCATGTTTAATTTGCCAAAAATTCTATGGAATTGGTTTTCTGCTTAAGCCCCACGTGACCCCTTTTTTTTGCTTTTCTTTGAATTGGTTTTCCCACCACTTTGGTGAGAAAATTGTTTTCTAGGTTTTTTTTTTTTTTGACAATTGAAATAAATTCTATCCCCCAATGGTAACAAATTCTATCCATTTATTGGACAATTTTCATAGAAAATAAAGCCAAAAGAACACCAAAAGATCCAAAATTTCAACATTTTTCTAGTGAAAAATTATACCAATCAAACACAATTAATTAACAATTCTCAGTAAAACAAATTCTAGACAATTCAATTTTTAAAATTTTTTTTTCACCTCAATTTCATTCTTACAATCAAACGAACTTGAATGTAAATGAAACAAAGCATGCGTTAAACAAAATTTTGAATCTTTGCATCTTCTTGCAAGTCCTACATTTACTGTCTGCCATGCTTTACTGTGTTTTGTACTTCTTCCATGATGTAAATATATCAAGGAAGGGGATAAATATAGGGAATGAAAAGCTTGCCTATAGTACAATAATTTCTTTGTACAATCTTTTAGAATAAAAGTACACTACTTTAGGTTTCTTGATGGAATTATACATTTCTGGCATGTAATACTTTTCAAAATAAATTAAAATCATTTATCAGACCTGCAAAAGTTTATAGGAAAGATCCATCAAATTGTAGCATTAATTTCTCTATCAAAACTATCTTCGTATGAATTCGATATGGTAAGTACTGCTGCACAATATAATATTCAAATTTTACATTTTGTTCAGTTCCCTACATTAATATAGCTCGACTGTGTGAAAACACGTTAAGTCCCTGTTTGGTTTGGATTAAAATATCAAATCAGAGTTAACAATTAATTTTAACCACATATTTTATTGGATCCACAAATTTTCAACGATGTATTTCATCTACTTTTATCAAAAGCTAATAAAATTATAATTTTAATCTCTATCAAATAAAGGCTAAATTAACAAAAGCATGATAATATGGCTTTTGTTCATGAGGATGATAATCCTCCAGTAAACCCTACTGTTTGACTTTAAAAAAAGAATTTCTGAGGAGATCGTACATGTTTATGGACCACCTCGTTCATGCGTCTGAGCATGCTATCAATCAACAAAATAAACTCTTCTTAGAATTTAGATGTGTTGTCCAAGATGGGTTATTCCACTACTAAAATTTTGATACCCCATTACAAAAAAAGGATGAATTGCATCTTTGGCGGCCTCTATCTGCTCTGTCCTGTCCTGTCCTGAGCCTTGATGAATGAGGTAAATACCAGGTTATGCTTCCAAAGGTACAACATGAAAGTCTGCTTGTATACTTGCATCGAGTGTCTAAATATTAAAAGGCTATATATTTAAAGTTAGTTTATTGGGCAATCAAGAGAACGTGTAGCACAAATAAAAATCTCCCAACTCTGTAAACGGACGTATCAAGAAATAATAGGATATTGATGTTCATGTTGCATATTGGAATTCACCAACCAAGGGAGAACACGTTGTACAGATCATCGTTTGGCCATGTGTAACACATTATAGAGACTATCATATTCCAAATTATTGTATTGCAAATATCCCTAACAATCAAGAAATGTTGCATTATCATTTTGTCATTGACACCATACTTTTTGACTGCCGGAGAACGAGGTGAATAAATCAACGTTAATTATTGTATTTTGAATATACTAATCGTTGGAGAATGTTACATGATTTAGGGCATACGATGCTAATTATACGAACTCTAAAACACACTACAAATTACATTTTTAGCCCTCGTTTGTTTGACACTTTTCTTTGACTTTTCTATTAAGAACACATTACAAAATTACATATTAACAAATACCAAAACAATTTTATATTAATCAGAAAGAATCATTTTAGATTAATTCAAACAAATAATAGTTGATTTCTTTTCTTACGTTTTTCTCATTAAAGTCTCGTAAATGGAAAGGAAGAAAAATGACAACATGTGTTAAATGTATTGTAGTTGGATTAGCACGAGTAACACAAGTATTAAACAAAAATAACACATATATTGAGTATTTACGCTGCTGCTGTATACAATCACATCGGAGCCAGGACAGGTTAAAATTTAAACTTTTTTCGTCGAAAAAGATATATAGAAAAGTGTATGTAATGATTCTAACGGAGTTTGGAGACCTGTCAAAATGTGGGTCCTATCTAAATTGCATGGCTGACTCGTGGAAACTGGCCATGAAGAAGGATCCATTATAAGACATCCCTCTCCACCCAAAGGATTACTGAACGTTCTACCATGAATCCTCCTCCATACATGGCCCTCATAACCATTGTTGTACAGCACTAAACATTAAATTCATAATCTGCAGTGTACTCTCAGTTGAAGTCAGCCATTCCATTAATTCACTCTTTTCAATTCCTGCTTTAGGCCGTTCTTGATCTGTACTTCTTTCGGTGTGTATATACAGAATAACAGGTTTGATTTTCTGCCAGTTCTGCAGTACTTCTTGTTTCAGAGAGAGAGAAAATGGGCCATGGCCACCATACTTGTTGCAACAAACAAAAAGTGAAGAGAGGGCTATGGTCACCTGAGGAAGATGAGAAACTCGTAAGGCACATTTCTGCCTATGGCCATGGCTGTTGGAGTGTAGTTCCTAGACTTGCAGGTATTATTTTTAGAATCACATTTTCCACACACACAATAGAGATGTGTGTGAGTGCAAAAACAGGGCTTGCTCCCTAGCTTGGCCCACATTTTTTTTTTAATGGGGATACAAGGATCTCACCCCTCTCCAAGAGGAGGCTGGAACCTAATTGCATTGACCATGGAAGGTTTTGCTTTTATCACTTGACGTTGACCTTGGCTTGCTGACGTGTATATACCTATTTACATCGGTTTTGTTCTTATTCTGGTGCAGGGTTGCAGAGATGCGGCAAGAGTTGCAGGTTGAGATGGATAAATTACTTGAGGCCCGATCTGAAAAGAGGGAGATTTTCTCCACAAGAAGCTGCTTTCATAATTGATCTACACAATATTCTAGGGAATAAGTTAGTCTCATAATCGCAAGAAAAGAAAAATATATATATTTTAGCTACGGTTCAATGCAAATTGAGATTTTTTGATTTTGTAGGTGGGCTCAAATAGCCAAGCATCTTCCGGGAAGAACGGACAATGAAGTAAAAAACTTTTGGAATTCAAACATCAAGAAAAAACTCACGGCAATGAATCTTTCTAATATGGCTCCAGTTTCTGATCTGGCCACAATTTCAAATATGACAAATTCCAGGATCAATTTTCACGGTTTGTGCTCAGTGAATTCAAACTCTAATCTGATCCCAACTGCCCAAATGGATCAGGTCTACATCCCAGCAGCAGCCCCAAATAATCCACTGCCGCAAGGGGTTGATCAGGTGAATTTTAGTACCAACTTACACCCTTCTTTTCCCATGTCATCACTGGATTCATCTGCATATGATCTGCCGCTGCCGGTATGGACGTCATCAGAATACCTGCAACCTCAACTGATTGATCATCATCAGCAACAATTTATTAAACAGGAAGATGCTTCCATGTACATCACTGGCGGCGCTGCAGCTCCAGAATTTTTCAACCCACCGCCATTAATGGGAACTTATGACGATACATCAGCAAATGATGGGCTGCCAAAACTCAGTGAAATAGCCAATGGGAATCAGTATGGAATGAGTTCTTCATCTGCTTCACAAGATTTTGAACCAATTTCTGCTGCAAGTTTTTCAGGATTCCCTTCTGACCTTTATGCAACTGAGATGCAGGTGCCATTAGTTATATATTGTCAGTATGGTGGGATGATTTGACAGGTTTTTAAACCTTTTTGAAAATGAAGGAGGTGTCTCAAGAAGAAGTCATTGTAATTTATTCTAAAATCTTCTTTAATCTTTACTATATAACTTGAATAATTTTTATGGTTGATCACTTGAGACGATGTATAATATATTGCCCCTGTTTGGTTTCTTTAATAGAAATTAGGCTTTTAGTAGATTTTGATAAAATTTCATGGAATGTGTGATTGAGAACTTGTAGGTCTTGTGAAATGAGGGGTTGAAATTAATTTTTGACTCCAACTCATATTTTAATCTATTTCTTTAGCTAAATCAAAAAGAGACTAACGTATAATATATTCTACAAGTATCAATGTTATTAAAATTGGATCAGAATGGTCGGTTCAATTGAAAAAAATTGGGAATCGGAATTTCAATCCAATGATATAGTATAAGTCTTCTACTAAAAAATTGGTAAAATATCGATGGCCCGACTGGTTAAGCCATGAATCGATAAATATGCCATGGTTTTACTGGTTTGCCTGTCAAATTATCAATTAAAAACAAAAAAAATAAAAATAAAAAAACTAACAAATTATAGACAAGCGAACAACATATAAGATCATCATTTGATAAGCTTTTACCTCTCTCATCGCAAGTGTTATAAAACAAACAAGATACAAGAATCTCTCTGATACCATTTATTATGTTAATTATGCTCAAAATATTTGATATCAATTATTGGGAATTCAAGGATTACGTATTGCTCGATACCACTTGATATGAAATCAACCACCAGATTGAGATCTTGAAATTATAACACATAATAATGAAGTATTTGATCACAAGTAAAAGAATAAAAGAAGATAAGAAAATATGGTAGAGGAATTATGAGATTTTATTGCACCAATAATAATGGAGAAATATACAAGTGATCCTAAAGTTCTAGTAATCTCTTTTATCATACTATAAAATTGTACAGAAGAACCTAATATTTATAAGGAATATGTAGAGGATGGGATGTCTAAACCCTCATGGAGAGTTGTTAGTGAAGTAGGATACCAAAAAATAGAGTCCAAAACAAAATTTAACACTCGATGGACTTCCAAAATAGAACTTCAATTTGACATAGGACTCCAATAGCATTCTAAACTGAATTTTTCTTAACGTACACTTCAATTAGAATTCTTCAATTATTTCAACAAGGATTCTAGTCACACCCCAATTCTAACAACCTCCACCTTGACACGAATTTCATTGCAACGAACAAAGATTCAAAATATTCTTCACTTGGAAAAGAAAATCTGTTTGCAAGAAATGAACGACTCTTCAACAATAACTAAAACTGATTTCTCCAGCTAAATACAAAATAATCTAACTCTTCTAATGAATCCAAACACTACTCTGCAAAATTATATCTGATTCTCAAAAATCATTATAATTTTAAAATTCACCAAATTGGGCTATAACATACTCCAAAGTAGAATCATACTCAAATGCTTTTAAAGAAAGTCTCTTGCTAGATTGTTCACCTTCTACTATACTGAAAGCATGCTCAACAAAATCAGTAGTCACATACCTTTTACCATTGGGTACGTCCCTAGCAACTGAATACAATGGCACCGCAGGTGATGGTGGCAAAGCGGCATTATCTATATCTCATGAACTCCACTGAGCAGTATTTTTCAAATTCGACCATTTATAAGCTCTTAAAGGTATTGTACCAAACTAAATGTCCACCACGGTACTGAACCGTACTGATTGACTCTTCTAGATTCTGCACGACCCTACAAGATGTATAACTGAGACATTTCTGTCTTCTCAATACAACCTAGACACCGTTACAAACCTTCAAAACCCCACCTCCACTTCCACCAAAGAACTCATAACCCTTTGAATCAAGGATAGACAATGAGATGAGATTTTTCTTCAAATCCGGAACATGTCGAACCTGGCCAAGTGTTCTAATTATCCCATCCAATAATTTCAACCTGATCGTACCAATTCCAGCAACCCGATAAGGTATGTTGTCTCCCATAACCATGACATCTTTGGAAACGGTTTCATATATAGTAAACAAGTCATTATTAGGACACATATGAAACATATACGCAGAATCCAGAATCCAATCCTTCTCTGGTTTAGACTCAATGTCAGAAATAGCCAAAAGATCTTCCTCACTTACAATGTTTTCTGTGAGGTCTACTTTTCCCGAAGTCTCTAATTGCTTCCCATATTGACTTGTGGCCAACCTTTCTTTATTCTGTAATTTGTAGCAATCCTTTTTCAAGTGCCCCTTGTTTTTGTAGAAGTTACAAATTTGATTACTGAATTTAGATTTCGAACGGTTCCTTCCTAAACCACCATGAGCAACAAGGCCTTCTCTATCTCTTGCCTCTGAAACCAAGTTTCATCTTCTCTTTTGAGAACAAAGTATTATATACCTCCTCAATGGTGAGAGTACCACGACTATACAAGATCGTATCTCTAAATGAAGAAAACAAAGTGGGCAATGAACACAATATTATCAAGGCTGAATATTCTTCATCATACTTTACTTCCAATGTTTCCCAAATCAGCGACTATTTCCTTAAATACAGTCAGGTGATCTTTCAATGATCCTCCTTCTGCCATTCGATGAGAGTATAAACGCTGCTAGAGATACAACTTGCTTATTAGACTTTTGATCGTGCACAATTGCTCCAATTCCAATCATAAAGCAACTGTTGAAACCTCATTCAAAACGTCATGAAGAACGGTATTCGATAGATGAAGATGAATGTGAGAAACTAGTTGCTTATCCTTCCATAATTTCTCCCCCACAATCAAAATTGCGGGTATATTGTGAATTCCCAACAATGCATCATCCAAATCCTGTTATGCGAGTACTGCACGTATCTTAACCTTCCATAGCGAAAATCTCGTACTCCAATCCAAAAGCGAAATTTCATACTTCATGGAAGCCATCACGAACAAATCAAATCCTGTACTTTTGCGGAACTGCTGAACCTGAATTGATATCATCTTTTAAGAATTTTCATTTTTCTTTGTTGAAATAACTTTATCCTTGTATAAAAAAAGAGTTTTTTTTGGAGGAATATCACATAGTTATTTCAACCTATCATTTTCCATTAC